ATGTGCATGCGTTCCCAAGATCCAGAGAGGAGAATGGAGGAGAAGGGATTGCGGCGTGGCCATCCCCCCTAGGGGGGTGATTTCTCGCTTTCTATCTCTCTGTCTCTCTCTGTCTGTCTGGAGAGCGCATGCGCCCTATAGCAAAAACCTCTAAAAAACAAAGTCTAAAAATAAGTTGCACTAAATCCAATATGATGTCCTAGATTAGATCCTGGAACGGAAAAGGGACATTAGTGGGAAAACTGGTGAATCTGTTCAGTTAACAGTATTACAGAAATGGTCATTTCTTTTTTTTTTTTTCTTTGGAGAGGTTTTTGCTATAGGGCGTGTGCGCTCGCCAGACAGACAGAGAGAGATAGAGAGATAGAAAGCGAGAAATCACCCCCCCCCCAGGGGGAATGGCCACGTCGCAATCCCTTCTCCTCCATTCTCCTCTGGGGATCTTGGGCACGTACGCACACGCGCCCGGCATGAGTTTTAAGCCACCGGGTCCGGGACATGAACTGCGGTCGACTACGTGGGAGTCCAGCGACATAGCCATTACGCTAACTGCTGGTCCCAGAAATGGTCATTTCTTAGCTTTGACAAATATGCTGGGGTTACACAAATGTCAGCATTAAGGAAAGCTGGGTAAAGGATATGTGGTAGCTCTCTGTACTATCTTTCCAACTTCTATAAATCTAATACTATTTCCAAATCAGTTCAAGATTTTTTTTTAAGTGGCTGCCTCCAAAGACAAAGGGAGAGAATACATTTGTAAAAATTCATCCCACTTTATAATTAAAGTGCATATGTAAACTGTATTGTAATAAAGTTAAGCCAATAAGAAAAGCCAGTCACAAAAGCAAAGAAACACAGTGAAGTTATTTATGCAAACCTTGGTAACACAGAAAACAATTACATACATGCTATTTCCATACGAATAGGGAAAATAACACACCAAGTTCAGGACAGAAGTCACTTCTGAGAAAGGTGAGACACGTACCCCAGGTACGAAACTCAAGTAGGTGCCAAGGAATTCAGCAACCAAGATAAATGGAATTACAGCATGAATTTATTTCATAGCAAAAAAGAATTATGAAATCCATGCATAATCTTTCTTTATAATACATATTTTCCATGGGCTTTTTGAAGATACTGTATAAATAACATTTTAATGTGACATGTTTTAAAACTAAAATGAAGGGACAAAAGGACCCATGATAATCATACTATTAAAATTGTAAGACAAGGGGACCAGCAGTTAGCGTAATGGCTATGTTGCTGGACTCCCATGCAGCTGACCATGGTTCAAGTACCGGACCCGGTGGCTTAAATTCACACCAGTCACGTGTGCGTGCATGCCCAAGATCCCAAGAGGAGAATGGAGGAGAAGGGATTGTGGCCATCCCCCCCCCAGAGGGGGTGATTTCTTGCTCTCTGTCTCTCTGTCTCTCTCCATTTTTCTGGCAAGCGCACGGGCCCTATAGCAAAAACTTCTCAAAAAAAAAAATAAATTGTAAGACAAGAGAGACATTTGGATGATGTCTTAGTTCCAGAAAATAAAAAGCTCCAAAGCAAAGGGGGCAAAAGGAGTAATTTCTTTGAAGCAGTTTCCTAACTAAAAGATAGCGTGGTAGTTGAAGACACTGGACTCCCACATGGCTGATCACAGTTCGAGTCCAGGTCCTGGCAGCTTGCTTTCTCGTGTCTCTCTCTCTCTGTGTCTCATTCTGTCCCTCTCTGGTCAAATTAGAATGAATAAATAAATTTTAAAAGTTAAAAATTAAAATAAAAGCAACAAAAATTTGAAAATAATGCAAGGTACTTGATGATGTGGGAAGCTATAGAAAAAAAGCTTTAGAAAAGCCCACTCTTACCTGAAACGTGTGAATAGTTCTTGCCCACGCGTGTTTTATGCGACCATAATGCATTAGTTTCCTGAAATCCACAGTGACCTCTAAGCCAGCCATATTATTAATGGTCAATGATCTTCTCTTTGCAAAAGTTACATCGGTAATGTCCTGTCATCAAAACAAAGAAATATTTTGTTTGTCTTCAAATATGCACCAAATGCAGATATTCTATCTTTGGGTTGAACATAAAGCATACTCATAAGTAAAATAAGTATATTCATTGCAATGAAGAATTTAAAAAGGCTTGAAATCTACACTTGCTCACACTGAATCTATCCACATATATTTTCCAAAACAGAAGTACAAATTTTCAGTGCTTAAATTTATCTTGCATTTGACTCTCTGAAAACAACCTAGTCTATTTGTCGTCTTTTTAATTCTAAGGTTTACACACTTCTTGTATCGCCTACAGAAGTCTGCATAAATTCTTCACAAGCGCTCACCTTTATAAACAGCTTTTGAAGATTGTAAGTTATGTACACAATAAAAAACAAATATAACTATTTAAAAAAAAGGTTGGGGGGAGCAGCCAGTGGCATGGTGATTAAAGTGGTGGATTCCACAGGGCTTGCTCTACAATTCAAGTCCTGGGCCCATCAGCTTGAGAAACAAACCTGGCTGACAGGTGTTTGTGCATGCCAAAAATCCCAAAAGGAATTGGAAATGGAGAAGAAATTATTGTGGCATGACCATTCCCAGTATGTGAGGAGGATGCTTTCTCACTTTCTCCCTCTCTTTCTCTGTCTCTTTCTGGTGAGTGCACATGCTCTCTGGCAGAGCAAAAAAACAAAAACAAAAACAACTCCACCTCACCCTCCTGAACCGCCAAGGATTACAGGATGTGTCACCACACCCAGCCTTTACTTTGGACCAGGAATCGAACCCAGGCCTCTCGTGTAGTCCTAACCTGCAGAGCACTGGGTCTTAGCACATGCACTGAGGCTGGGCCACCAGGCAACTACTTTTATAGTTTCTATATCTGAGAAGCAACAAATGAAATGCTCCTTTGTAAAATATAAGTGTCTCATTTATTTCTTGTTTTTTTTTTTTTTGTTACTCAAGCACTTCCAACTTGTTTAAAAAAAAAAATCCAACTTGTTTAAAAAATGTTTCTTCACAACATCTTACAGAAAAGAATACTTCTCAACTCTTTAATGAAGCCAAAACCAGAGAAGACATTACTAAAATACTATAAGCCAATATCCCTCATGTACATGATGCAGAAATCCTTAACAAAAAATTATGGAACCAGAATGTCAACTTTAGCATGATTAGACTTTAAATCAACCCTGGGACAACTTAAAAATATATAAACCCCTAATTTGTTAACAGGCATAAATTTGTTATCACTTACCTTTGTAATAAAAAATATGTCTCCATTGCACAGTCGAATACCACTTTCAAAATTATGCTTATTTTTAGCAAAATCATGAGGAGCAGCACAAATGTCCTCACCGCTGGCGTTTAGGTCGTTATTTTGCTGACTGCTGGAGGTATCTTCAGGGAGTAAATCTGAGAGGTATGCATTCTTTGTACAGCAGATTTTATCACCAATTCCAAACACAAGTCTGTTCTGATGGTCTCTGGGTTAGACAATGAAAAGGTCATCAAAATTTGGGGGGAAAAAACAGCAATCTCATTTTGTTTAAACACTAACTCCCACTCAGACCTCATCCAATTATCAGAATAATTTCCTCACTCTCATTACGCGATTTTCCTTCACCAAAGGTCAACCAGAAATCAGGTTCTCAAAATGGTCATCTGATGGTTTGCATCCACTCTCTTGTGTCACCTCAGATTCAGTGACATTTCCCAGCCAGATTTTCTCAGGTAAGAAAGTAGGCATAAATTCTGATGTCTCTCATTCCCCCAATATTCTAAACATTATCAAATATCTTATTGATTCGACCTTGAAAATTCATCCTCTCTCTAAGTCTCTCCTATCACCACTCCATTTCCTGTCTTAAAGAACTTACACATATTTCTATTATACTAATTAAGACACTGTGTCAGAATAATAGTAGCCAATTGAGTAATGGTGGTGATAAGCCAGTTACTGTGGTAAGTGCTTTAGGAATATTACTTCATTTCATTCTTACTACAGCTCTATCAGGGAAATGTTCTAAGTACCCTCCCTTCTTGGACGTATGTGGAAAGGGAAACAACCCAAGACTGCAGTTGCCAGACCCGCTGTGTGGCCCAGCCCAAGCCTCTATACCCTTCGTTAGACTCCCCACTACAGTTTTAAGTTCATCTCTCCTCAGCAAACAGGAGCTCCTCCTGTATCTCAGACATCTCTGGTGTTTCTCCACTAATAAACAACAGGTACTAGAAAATGAAAGAGATAGGAATTCATTTTCCCTAGGTATCAAGAGTGACTTTTCTATAACCATATTTCTTTGATGGACATTCACTAAGGTGCTCCCAGTAGGCATCTTGTTGCTAAAGTTCTCAGAAGTACTATACACGTTATAATTTCAAAATTTTGCCTGAACTCCCCACACTTAGCCTATAGGAGCTGGGAGATGAACCTGAAACTCACTTTTTTTTTTTTTTTTTAATCTAGGGCACATGTGCTCACTGAGGAGAGACAGAGAAAGTGAGAAATGACCCCGCAGGGGGGATAGCCACACCAAAATCCATTCTCCATTCTCTTTTCAGGGTTTTGGCCACATACACACATGCACCCCGTATGTTTCTCAAGACTCCAGGTCTAGGACTTGAACCATGCCTTTGGCCTTGTAGGATCCAGCTGCCTTAACCACCATGACACCAGCTGGCCCTCTTATTTATTATTTTTTTTCTTAATATATTGACTACCAAAAAGCCAATCCCTAAAAATACACATTATATTTAATTGGAGAGAAACTGAAACATTACAAATGGGGGAAAGGAGGTTAAATATGTGGCTAGAGCTGACAACTGTCAAGGCACACAGAACAGTGAATCAAGGACTGTCCTCCAAAGTGTCAGTTCTTTAAAACGCTCACTTGCTGAGGCGGCCTGTGTAGTGCTTGCAACAGCAGTCGTTGATTAAATCACAGTCTTGCCTGAAACACATGAAAATGCAAAGGACACCTTAATATCTGTTTGGAGCTTCTTTATGTTATCAATAACTATGATACGCCAGACTCTAAAAAATTTCTACAACTTGCTTCAGGAAAGAGTACTTTAGAATTTTCCTCTTAATATAAACTTTTGTTCCATTCAGATTTCCTGTGAGCTTCTAAATAAACTATTTGATAGAAAGAACCCTATTTAGAAAGTACCCTCTACCACATCTAACAAAGAATTATCCCCAAATAAGAAAGAGAATTAGGAGTGATGAAATATGAGAGTATCCCATCCAAATGGAATCTACATTAATAAGTTATGACATTTAAAAGCTACATTGAGCACATTAAAATATGGTAAATGCTTTACCTTCTAAATGCAATAAATTGTGATGTTTCTGCACTTTTGAAATCCTCTTCTTGTAACAAAGTTCTAACTGCTGAATATAAATCTGATAGTTCAAAAGGGCAAAAAAAAAAAAAAAAACCAGAAAATCAGCAAATTATAATATTTTCTATAGAGAAACTAAGTTGGAATTCCTGCTAAGGAGCTTGGGAAAACATGTCACCAGATACAATGCAAGTTTGCTTCAGGAACATGGGTCTCATGCCCTACGCCAGCCAGAGCAATAGGAAAGGAGATGGAAAGACAGTTACAGACAGCCACCCTCCAGGAGAGGTCAGCCCCTGGTCAGGACAGTGCCTAATATTAATATCCCGACAGCTTATGAAAAGTGAATTAGAGAAATGAGCAAAAGTACTAAACTTTGTTTTTCAGTCTTAGTGGTACTACTGGTAATAATTTAAGTCTTTGAGAATTTATATACTTTATATATTATCTCAATAGTCACAATACCCACGTGAGGCAAATATTATCATATTTAGAGCTGATATTTAGCTGTTACATATCAAATATTGAGTTACTTCTGAATTAGCTTTAAAAAAAATAGCTACTCCTCTAACTCTCAAACACCCATCTCCCCCAGCCATCCCCTTCCCTCTCCGAGGTTCAGCTACTAAAAGGACAGCCTGGCTCAGTAGTGGCATCCTGCCAGTGGTGCTCATGGCCTACCGGATGTTAAGTAACTTCACCTCTGATTACATCTATATTATGAAAGTCAACACGAGGCTTATGGAAGTAAAAGCAATTTCCCAAATGAAGCAGGGTGTCCTGCCTCCCTCCTTCAGAGCTCAGATGACTGACAGGTCCCATCTACCTGTAAGGTGTACTTTCACACTGGAACACTGAGAAGAGGCTTCCCTTGGCAATAGTATAGAGCAACAAAAATCTCTCATGAGAGAAAGATATAAAAATGCTGGTAAATACATCCCAGGCTTTTTTGTCTCCCTACTAGTACAGAAATCATGAGGGAAAGAAAAAGCCTAGAACTTGTGATGCCCTTATCTGAGAAGACTAACTTAGCTGCTTGCTAATTTAGGGCCTTCATTTTCCAGATGAAAGAAGGATTATCCTACAAAATGGCCAAGAGTGGGGGCCAGTCAGTGGAGTGGTGGTTAACATGGCTGGATCCCACAGGGCTGACTGTGCAGTTCAAGTTCTAGACCCAGCAGCTTGAAAAACACACTGGACATGTGTGCATGTGTGCCCCAAAACCCACAAGGAGGAAGAAACAGAGAAGGGATTGTGACGTGACCATTCCCCTTGGAGAATGGTCATGTCCTCCCTCTCTCTCTCTCTCTCTCTGTCTCTCTCTCTCACCACTGCCATGAGTACACATGCCTCCCAGCAAATTGAAGAAAAAGACAGAAAAACAGCCGAGACCCAGCTTACCCTCTGCCAACCCTTGGTTTGCCAGGGCAGGAATTGCCAAAGATCCCTACCATACTGTTTTCTTCTACAATTCTAAAACCACGCGGTTATATATCATGCTTTTTCACTCTCTCCCTACCTTGGAGATCAACATGTACACTGAATTTGATTCTAGTCCATATATTTTACTCACATTTTAGCATCCCTGAAATTTTATCCAGCTCTGAATGCTTTCTTGGGTCTTTGTAATTTGCAATGATGGGTATAATTTATTCAAAACTTACTTATTAATTTTAAAAAGTATTGTATGCTTCTTGAGGGAATATTTATTCAGTTTCCTTAAAGAAGAGACTAATTTTCCAGCAAATGCTTTTAATTAAGATAGATCAACAGCATCCGCCAGGTTCTGCAGCCAATGTGAAATGGGCTCATGTCTTTTCTTAATGTACATACATGGCTATGAAAAATAAAACCAACACTGTTTTAGACAGATCCAAGAGGAGTGGTAAAGAGATCTACTTAGTGTCCAAGTCTCATTTTCTTCATCTGTTACAGTACCCTCTATTAACTAAGCTGTTGTGAGAATAAATACTGGGTATTAATTACAATACAGTTAATAAAAAATCATAAAACAATATACAGTTCATAATATATGTAAAATGTAAATAATACATATGTGTATATGAATGTAATATGGTTGTATTAAAAATAAATACTAAGCTGGTACTATGCATGTAGCCTTTATGGGGTTTTCTTGAGGGAAAGAAAAGAAAGTAAGCTTACTACTTCAAAAATGTATGCATCACTTGACTTATTTTTAGTAAATAGAAATTATTTCTATTATTTAAAAAACCCTAAATTGTGATATATTATGTAATCCTATTTATTTGTTTATTTTTAATAGAATACTATGGGTCAGTGCCATAGCCTAGTAGTTAAAGAAGCTAGATTCCACATAACCAACGTATTTGAACTCTGGCCCTAGCAGCCTGAAAACACTCCTGGAGCTCATATACACACATGCCCCGAAGCCCCACGGGATGAAGAAATGGAGAAGGGACTGCAGTATGACCATGCCCATGGAAGGGTGATTTCTCCCCCTCCCTCTCTTCCTCCCTCCGTCTCTCTCTCTCTCTCTCTCCTGGCAAGCACACATGCCCTCCAGCTATTAAAAAAAGAAAGTTGTAACATAAATGATCATTAACCTAGGTGAAGTAAGACTGCTGATATACACAAAAGGAGAGAGGCTTACAGATCCAGTGGAATGTCTTTCAATTTCTCATACAGAGTAAGAGTAGTGAGGTGGGAGGATACACCTCTGAGAACTGTGGCAACCACAAGAAATCCTCAATAACAATCTTCAATCTTTACTAGTTTGATTTTGAATAATAAACCATTATATTATTTCTCTAAATCTGCTAAATGAGTGCATAAAGCAAATAAATATCAAAAAGGTTTTATCTATTTGAATAAATTCATTTGCAGTACCTAATTTAATAATATTGGTTATTTATCAAAAAACTAGCATTTCTATAGCATTTCATAACTAATAGACGCCCTCACCCTTCTTGAAACTTTGAAAGCTATAACCTTTTCCCAAAAACAAAAATATTTGCTTTTCAAATTGCTCTGAAAGAAACACTTCATTAAGATTTGCTTTCTCTTGGATTACGGAGATTTTGCCTTATTTTAAACAAAAATCAAACTAAATCCATTTATTAACTCAACAAATATTTACTGAATCCTTACTATGTATCGAAAGCCTATTTCATTACAAAATTCCAGGGTAATCTGCTTTTGATAATTCATTAAGTTACTATATTTATTTCTGTGCTTCATTTTTACTAGCAATATTTATCTTTACCATCAAATAAAAGCATAACTAGTCATTTAATAGCTGTATGATAAAACTTAAATAATTAATTCTACATGTCACAGACATTTACACTTACAAGAGTGATGATAATTTTTAGATAACTGAGAACTGGTATCCTCTTCAGGGAGTCTGACAAAAATAAATTTCTTATCTTGAATTGAGATGGGGAATGTAGGATTATCAGAGATACTTAGTTCTGCATCAAATTCTGGAAACTGGCGTCTTGAGATTCTTGGATAAAGAAAAAATATGTACATCAAGAGCATTATCATTCACAAATGGTCTTCATATATGATCGAAGCTAATTAATATTTCTTAATAAATAATAGAGAGAGAGAAAAGGCCACCACGCGGATATGCATTATTAACTGTAAATGAGATTTAAAATAGAATTCGATGACTATAAAACTATGGCAAATTTAGCAAACTAAAAGCGTCAGAAAAAAGGACTGGAGGATTTACTGAACACCATTCTGAAAACTTGACCGACTCATCTGTAGACCATGAAAGAACCACACGAAGTAGGTTTTATTCCCCATCTGACCAGTAAGCAGTGTGAGGCTCAGTCAGGTATAGAGCCCAAGGCCACAGAGGCAGAAAGCGGGAACAGGAAGACAAATCTGGGCCATTTGTCTCTGCACTTCTTTTTACTTTCATTACATAATTTGGACTCACTGGGGCCTTTTCCATATGTACTTTTCACACTCCTCTTTCTTCTGTATCATACATGCTCCCATTTTCTCAACTGAAAACTGACTATCAACATCTATTTGCATCGAGGGCCTCCTCATCCTTCTTTCATTCTTGTATTTTCCAAGACTAGCATATCATATCAGAAAAACAGACTGGATACATTGTCCTAACAGTTTCTGCTTGCTTATCTGGACTGATGAGACCCTACTGTGACTTTCAAACTTTCCCAAACAAGAGTTGAAAGGAAGAAAAGGAGAAGAAATGAGGCTGTCCTTGTTGGAAATAACCCATAGTTAGTTTCTGGGTTCCAAAGAATCTTGACGAATGTCGTAGTTAGCTTCTGACCCATCATGCGGCATGCTGGTATCTTGGGGAGCTTCTCAGTTATCCCACAGGAGTCTTCCACAGTCAGTAAGCGTTTGCCAACGAGGACTATGACAAAACGATGAAAGGCGCACAGCTCGCCTCGTGAAGGAAGCGCAGTCTCAGGCCAAGTGATACTGAAAGAGCTACTGAAACAGTCCTGAGACTGGAGTTCTCAGAAGTCTAATATACTTTAGATCCTTCCAAGTTCTTTGCACTTTAACATAACTAATTATTACCAAAAATAAGGTGGCTTTTAGGTAGAAGCACGATTAAAGGAAGAGAATATTACACATTTAATGCCATTAATTTTTATAATGTCTCAATGTGAATGCACATCATCTACCCTATTCCTGTCAGCTCCTTCTCTTCTTCCACTATCCTGCCCAAGGTAGAGAAAGTGGGTTTAGAATGTTCTAGGTCCTGCTGACATCTAAACAAGGAGCTATTCAAGGACAAAAAACATTTTGTAAAAAAAAAAAAGAGTCAAAAACAAATGTAAAATTTGGCCTAATGAATAAATGTGTCTTAGTACTGCACGATCTAATTAAAGGTATACATTTTAATATCAAAATAAATGTCATAAAATAGTAACAATTGTTTTTCTGATCAATGGATTACGGAGAAACCAAATACCTGAGCCTGCAGAAGACTATTCCAGATGTTTATGCAAAGTCTAGGGAATTCTCTCCATTTCAGGGGGAATAATATGCAATGGGTGCCTACGAGATTCACCTCAGAGTGAAATGCATTTCTTTTTTTTTTTTTTTGCTTTGGGCTTATTCCACAATAGTAAGGATTTCCCTCCTTGTTCTCCCTTAATTACAAATGAACTAATTTCTGAGGCTCTGTTCCCCTTGCCATTTTTCCAATGTCTAAGTTTAAGGCAACTTTAATTCATATACAGGCTAATTATCCCTTATTGAAAATGCTTAGGACCAGAAATGCTTAGTATTTTGTATTTTATTGGATTTTGTAATATTGCCTATACCCTTAACTTGGGCAGACTGAATTCATATATGTTTCATATACACCTTATACACCTAGCCTGCAAGTAATTTTATACAACATCTATTACATTATTTTGACTGTGACCATTACATGCACTTGTGTCACCACCTCAGTGCTTAGAGAGTTTTAGACCATGAGCATTTAGGATTTGGGTTTTTCCAGATAGAGATGCTCAGCCTGCATATACTTTTTAAATGAGGAAAACACATGCATTCTTAAATTCCAGTAATAAATTATGCCACACCAGTAGTGAAATATATTAGCTCTGTTTTCCTAGTTGTGAAGCCAAGGTGTATGTTTGAAAAATAGAAAAAGGTTGCTTAAAATGTTGTACTAAAGCATTCCAATTAAGAACTTAACTGTTTTTACCTTTTATTTCTAATAAACAGAGAGAGAATACAAAATCTCATTTAAATTATACCTTGTAGCATTATCCACAATTAGCTGGGATTCTGCTCTATGATTTGTCTTTAGCTCAACAGCATATTTTCTTGCTTTAAGAGTTTCAAAAAGATCTTTCAGCAAGTTTCCAGGTTCAATACTGGGTAATTGTCTAATATCACCTAAAAAGGAACAACAACAACAACAAAATTACAGTAGGTTTTTAGGTAACTGTGATCCTAAACTTTAGAAATTATCTTTATTTCTCCCCATTGAAACATGCTGCAATTATAAAGAATTACTCAAAGGAAAAAAGAAATCTTTGTCTAAAATTATTAAAGAGGGCAAGCAGGTGGTGTGGAGGTTAAGGTAGCTGGATCTCGCATGGCCTACCGTATGATTCAAGTTTGGATCCAGCAGCTTGAAAAATACTCCAGGCATGTGTGCATGTATGCCCAAAATCCCAAGAGGAGAATGGAGGGGAAGAGACTGCGGCATGGCCATCTCCCCAGAGGTGTTTCCTCACTTTTCCTCTCTCTGTCTCTTTCTCTCTCCAGTGAGCAAACACACCATAGAACAAAATTGAAAAATAAATAAATAAATAAAAAATTTAAAGATTACGAAGTGTTTAAAAATATTTAACAACAATAAAAAATCAAATTAAACATATAAGATATAAAAAATGGTGATAACACATTAAGGTAACAAAAATCTAAACTGCACTTTTTATAAACTATGGAGAGGCATATATTTCAGGTAACATGTTAAAATATATATATATAGCTAGTATTTAGTCATTTGATCCTGTTTATAGAACATGGAACAATCTATGGCCTTAAAAATAAAAATATAAACAAATGCATTTGATAATAAATTCCAGCAACCTAGTGATAATATTCTGCTCTGTTAAAAAATATTTCTGTCTTGAAACAAATGGAAAGTAAATCCTAGAGATAAGAAAAAACTGTGTACTGAGTGGAAATGGAGAGAATACTTAAGCCATTAATGAAATCAAGTGCTTATAAAATATCCTCAAATCTCAGAAAAATAGTATTTATATACAATTTAATTTTCAAACTGCACTTTTTATTTGTTCTCCATTAAATCATTATAGTCTGCAGATCACTACAACCTAATACAATTTAAGTGAACCTTATTAGAATTGGAAGGACTCAAGAAAGGGGTACCAGTTCATGCCTCCCCCACCCCCGGCCAGCCACTCCTCTTCCATGCACTGGAGGGGTGGGCAGCACATGAACCAGGGAAGCTTGGTTTGTGTTTGCAGCCACTCCCCATCATTCACATTGCTGCCTGGGATCCACTCCTGCTGGATCAGCAGTAGTAGTGGATTCTCATGGGAGGACAAACCCCATTGTTACCTGATGGTTCCAGGATATACTGTAAGGTGGAGTGGGATGCACAGTGGATGTGGTGTGCTTAGGTCATCCTGGGACTAACCCCCACTCCATCTGTGGAACGATTGTCTTCTACAGGTCAGTCCCTAAGTTTGGCGACTACTGACCTAAGAGGTTGACGAGGTCTAATTTGAATTACCACCTTAGAATAATAAAATTACTTTTAAATATTCTATAATTCAGATTTTTTACTATTTCTAAATTATATATATCCTAACTTACTCAGATTTTTACCATTTTAATAGCCATGATTTAGGTGACTAGAACTAACACTTTATAACTCTACTTTATTTACATCCTAACTAGCCAGTATCCTAGCCAAAAGGGGAAAAAAATCAATCAATCAAAAATAAACAAAACAAACAAACAAACACCAAAGTGGATGAGGAGAGTGGTCAGAATAAGCCAGTGCAGCTTTGGTTCAGGCTCTGACAACTGGCTTGCCACCATTCGAAAATGGTTCAATGAACTGATGTAAATAACCTACTAACCATGATGCTTGGAGCTAAATGTAAGAATTCCAATAATATTTTAACTTACCAAGGATAATGAGCTTAGAAAGTTTGGAGTGCTCACGCAATAAATTTAAAACCGACTTGAAGATTCCTACAGACACCAAACTCCCTTCATCCACAACCAGAACTCTAACTGAAGAAAACTTCCACGGCCTGCCTTTGGTTTCCATTTTGTTCCACAAATAGAAGCTATAATTGACCTAAAATCAAAGTATGGTATTTCTAAAGTCAGTTTACACACTTTATACACACACAAAAGTAACAGCAAGTTCTTTTAAGGTAAAACTCTTAAATTACAGGAGAGTGGAGAAACACAGCAAAAGGAATAAAGGAATAAAAAAACACAAAAGTTTTAGGGATGACTATTCAGAAAAGATAAATCAAATAAACCTAAAAACAAAGATCAGTAGTTCAAGAAACTGCTTCCAAATGAGGAGCATTAATTTAATTTAATAAGTTTCACACAGAGTTTAACTTAATAAGCTTCACACAGAGCACTATTTCACTGAAAGAAACCTCAGCACTTCTGTCACCACTGTTCACCAGAGAACGTTCTCTATTCTTTTCTATTCCCCAAAAAACCTTCTATTGACATTTGAGATTCCAATGACTTCAACTTTCCTTTTCTCCCAACCACCTTACTCCATTCTGGAAATAATGGGCTGTCTTCTCAACAAAATTATATTTCAAGTACTTTATCTTTCAAGTACTTTAAACTTCCTTATCTCCACAATGTTTCGGAGGCCACTATCATCACCACCACCACCAAACAACTCACAAAATTATTTTTTACAGTGGTAGTACCATTTACTATATTTCAAACATAAATGAGGAACAAAACTAGTTGTAAAACTGCACTCAGAGAATGTTAAACATTTTAACATCTATCATTCCAGAAATGTTTCTATGTCATAAGTATAGACATAAATGTCCATACCAATTTTTAAAGTATCCTGTCATAGCTTTATTTAATTTTCCTGCTAAAATGAGTTTTGATATGTCTTATTTATTTAAAGTTTTCATTCCTTCTTGTCACCCAAATGCACTGGTTCTCTTCAACGAAACCTCCTGTCTCAGTGGACTTATCTTACAACGGAGCATTTGGAGTCCCCTCTCATTGTTTTCTTTCTTTAATTATTTTAGAAAGGAAGAGACTGACACTTTTCTCTGTGTTTCTACTTCTACCATCTCAATACAGATTCCCTCTATGAGCACCTCAATCCCTCCAATAGCTTTGTAGCCAGGTTCCCCCCTACCTAGCCCAAGATGAGATTGCCTAATAAATATGGGAGACCCCGTTACATTTGAGCTTTGGACACACACTAAATGGCTTTTTAGTATAAATCTGCCCATGAAAGATTTGGCTCATATACTAAAAATGATTCACATTTTTATCCACTAAATCTGGCAGCCCCAGTCCAAAGGTCATAAGTAAGTGGCACAAAGGCCACATCAGTACTCTTGCAGTCCTACACGCTCCTAAGCCTGGACATGGCTTCAGAAATGTCTTCTCAACATCCTGACCACATATTAAGATACTACCAATTGATCAGAGTTAACACACAAGATGAAACTCGGCAATGATCTTTCTCTGGACTCTCCCCCTCCTAATTCAATCCTTCAGACTAATTGGACATGAAACATCATGGGAAAAAGAAAAAAAAAAAAAAACTACAAAAAAAGCT